CAATTTCTTTATGAGTGATATCCAAACAACTGTAAATATAACTGATATCAACACGAGTGTGACAGATTTTGAAAGAAATTGACAATATGCCCATGCACTCAGCCCCGGGTCCAGACTCTAGGAATTCAATATTTATAAAGAAATGCAAAGTGCCAGTAGCACAGGCACTCAGTATAGTGTAGAGGAAGAGCTTGGACACGAGGGAGATACCAGATGCGCTTAAAGCAGCAGACATTGCCCCTCTACACAAGGGTGGTAGCAAAGCATTGGCAATGAATTATAGACTAGTAGCACTAACGTCCCACATAATAAATGTATTTGAGAGAGTGATCAGGAGTCGGGTCACTAGATTCATGGAAACCAATGACCTCCACAACCCAGGCCAACATGAATTTAGAGCGGGAAGATCATGCCTCTCACAGCTACTTGACCATTATGACAAAATCACTGAGGCATTAGAAGGAAAAACAGAATGCAGATGATGTATACACAGACTTTGCAAAGGCATTCGACAAATGTGACCATGGAGTGATTGCACACAAAATGAGGTCAATGGGAATAACTGGTAAAGTAGGACGCTGGATACTCAATTTCCTGTCGAACAGAACACAAAGAGTAACAGTCAATCAAGTAAAATCGAGTCTGAGCGCAGTTAAAAACTCTGTACCTCAAGGCACAGTCCTTGCACCACTGCTGTTCCTTATTCTCATATCTGATAAAGACAAAAATACAAGTCACAGCTTCGTGTTATCCTTTGCAGATGATACAATAATTGGTATGAAAATTACCTCTGCTGAAGACATTGAAAAACTACAAACAGGCATTAACAAAGTTTTCGATTGGGCAGCAGAAAATAACATGATGTTTAACGGTGATAAATTCCAGGTACTTAGATACGGCAAAAATGAGGATCTGAAACATAATACAGGGTACAAAACACAATCGAATCCGGCCATAGTAGGAAAACATCATGTCAAGGATTTGGAAATAATAATGTCCGACGACCTAACGTTTAAGGAGCATAACCAAGCAAGTATTGCGTCAGCCAGAAAAATGATCGGATGGATTACGAGAATCTTCAAGTCCAGAGATCCCATCACAATGGTTGTACTCTTCAAGTCACTTGTGTTGTCCCGTCTTGAGTACTGCTCAGTACTCACTTCCCCCTTCAGAGCAGGAGAGATTACGGAAATAGAGGGAATACAGCGAACATATACGGCATGCATAGACGAAATAAAGCACCTAAATTATTGGGATCGTCTCATAGCTCAACAAATGTACTCACCAGAAAGGAGACGAGAGAGATACCAAATAATATATACATGGAAAATACTGGTGGGACAGGTCCCAAATCTACACAGTAAAATAACAACGTACTGGAGTGAACGATATGGAAGAAAATGCAGAATAGAACCAGCGAAGAGCAGGGGTGCCATAGGCACAATCAGAGAACACTGTATAAACATCAGAGGTCCGCGGTTGTTCAACGTCATACCAGCATAAGAAATATTGCCGGACCAACCGTGGACATCTTCAAGAGAAAACTAGATTGTTTTCTTCAAGGAGTGCCGGACCAACCGGGCTGTGGTGGGTATGTGGGCCTGCGGGCCGCTCCAAGCAACAGCCTGGTGGACCAAACTCACAAGTCAGGCCGGGCTTGGGGAGTAGAAGAACTTCCAAAACCCCATCAAGCAGGCTGGTGCACAGTGGCTGGTGCACAGTGGCTGGTGCACAGCGGCTGTTGCACAGCGGCTGGTGCACAGCGGCTGGTGCACAGCGGCTGGTGCACAGTGGCTGGTGCACAGTAGCTGGTGCACAGAAGCTGGTGCACAGTAGCTGGTGCACAGTGGCTGGTGTACAGTGGCTGGTGTACAGTGGCTGGTGTACAGTGGCTGGTGCACAGTGGCTGGTGCACAGTAGCTGATGCAGAGTGGCTGGTGCACAGTAGCTGATGCACAGTGGCTGGTGCACAGTGGCTGGTGCACAGCGGCTGGTGCACAGCGGCTGGTGTACAGCGGCTGGTGTACAGTGGCTGGGGCACAGTGGGTGGTGTACAGTGGCTGGTGTACAGTGGCTGGTGTACAGTGGCTGGTGTACAGTGGCTGGTGCACAGTGGCTGGTGCACAGTGGCTGGTGCACAGTGGCTGGTGCACAGTGGCTGGTGTACAGTGGCTGGTGTACAGTGGCTGGTGTACAGTGGCTGGTGTACAGTGGCTGGTGTACAGTGGCTGGTGTACAGTGGCTGGTGCACAGTGGCTGGGGCACAGTGGCTGGTGTACAGTGGCTGGGGCACAGTGGCTGGTGTACAGTGGCTGGTGCACAGTGGCTGGTGTACAGTAGCTGGGGCACAGTGGCTGGTGTACAGTGGCTGGGCCACAGTGGCTGGTGTACAGTGGCTGGTGTACAGTGGCTGGTGCACAGTGGTTGGTGCACAGTGGTTGGTGCACAGTGGCTGGTGCACAGTGGTTGGTGCACAGTGGCTGGTGCACAGTGGCTGGTGCACAGTGGCTGGTGCACAGTGGCTGGTGCACAGTGGCTGGTGTACATTGGCTGGTGTACAGTGGCTGGTGTACAGTGGCTGGTGTACAGTGGCTGGTGTACAGTGGCTGGTGTACAGTGGCTGGTGTACAGTGGCTGGTGTACAGTGGCTGGTGTACAGTGGCTGGTGTACAGTGGCTGGTGTACAGTGGCTGGTGTACAGTGGCTGGTGTACAGTGGCTGGTGCACAGTGGCTGGTGCACAGTGGCTGGTGCACAGTGGCTGGTGCACAGTGGCTGGTGCACAGTGGCTGGTGCACAGTGGCTGGTGTACAGTGGCTGGTGTACAGTGGCTGTACAGTGGGTGTACAGTGGCTGGTGTACAGTGGCTGGTGTACAGTGGCTGGTGTACAGTGGCTGGTGCACAGTGGCTGGTGCACAGTGGCTGGTGTACAGTGGCTGGTGCACAGTGGCTGGTGTACAGTGGCTGGGGCACAGTGGCTGGGGCACAGTGGCTGGTGCACAGTGGCTGGTGCACAGTGGCTGGTGCACAGTGGCTGGTGTACAGTGGCTGGTGTACAGTGGCTGGTGTACAGTGGCTGGTGCACAGTGGCTGGTGCACAGTGGCTGGTGCACAGTGGCTGGTGCACAGTGGCTGGTGTACAGTGGCTGGTGTACAGTGGCTGGTGTACAGTGGCTGGTGTACAGTGGCTGGTGTACAGTGGCTGGTGTACAGTGGCTGGTGCACAGTGGCTGGTGCACAGTGGCTGGGGCACAGTGGCTGGTGTACAGTGGCTGGGGCACAGTGGCTGGTGTACAGTGGCTGGTGCACAGTGGCTGGTGCACAGTGGCTGGTGCACAGTGGCTGGTGCACAGTGGCTGGTGCACAGTGGCTGGTGCACAGTGGCTGGGGCACAGTGGCTGGTGTACAGTGGCTGGGGCACAGTGGCTGGTGTACAGTGGCTGGTGCACAGTGGCTGGTGTACAGTGGCTGGGGCACAGTGGCTGGTGTACAGTGGCTGGTGTACAGTGGCTGGTGTACAGTGGCTGGTGCACAGTGGCTGGTGCACAGTGGCTGGTGCACAGTGGCTGGTGCACAGTGGCTGGTGCACAGTGGCTGGTGCACAGTGGCTGGTGCACAGTGGCTGGTGTACAGTGGCTGGTGTACAGTGGCTGGTGTACAGTGGCTGGTGTACAGTGGCTGGTGTACAGTGGCTGGTGCACAGTGGCTGGTGCACAGTGGCTGGTGCACAGTGGCTGGTGCACAGTGGCTGGTGCACAGTGGCTGGTGCACAGTGGCTGGTGCACAGTGGCTGGGCCACAGTGGCTGGTGCACAGTGGCTGGTGCACAGTGGCTGGTGCACAGTGGCTGGTGCACAGTGGCTGGTGTACAGTGGCTGGTGTACAGTGGCTGGTGTACAGTGGCTGGTGTACAGTGGCTGGTGTACAGTGGCTGGTGTACAGTGGCTGGTGCACAGTGGCTGGTGCACAGTGGCTGGTGCACAGTGGCTGGTGCACAGTGGCTGGTGCACATGGCTGGTGTACAGTGGCTGGTGTACAGTGGCTGGGCCACAGTGGCTGGTGTACAGTGGCTGGTGTACAGTGGCTGGTGTACAGTGGCTGGTGTACAGTGGCTGGTGCACAGTGGCTGGTGCACAGTGGCTGGTGTACAGTGGCTGGTGTACAGTGGCTGGTGTACAGTGGCTGGTGTACAGTGGCTGGTGTACAGTGGCTGGTGTACAGTGGCTGGTGTACAGTGGCTGGGGCACAGTGGCTGGGGCACAGTGGCTGGTGCACAGTGGCTGGTGCACAGTGGCTGGTGCACAGTGGCTGGTGCACAGTGGCTGGTGCACAGTGGCTGGTGTACAGTGGCTGGTGTACAGTGGCTGGTATACAGTGGCTGGGGCACAGTGGCTGGTGCACAGTGGCTGGTGCACAGTGGCTGGTGTACAGTGGCTGGTGTACAGTGGCTGGTGTACAGTGGCTGGTGCACAGTGGCTGGTGCACAGTGGCTGGTGTACAGTGGCTGGTGCACAGTGGCTGGTGCACAGTGGCTGGTGTACAGTGGCTGGTGTACAGTGGCTGGTGTACAGTGGCTGGTGTACAGTGGCTGGTGTACAGTGGCTGGTGTACAGTGGCTGGTGTACAGTGGCTGGTGCACAGTGGCTGGTGTACAGTGGCTGGTGTACAGTGGCTGGTGTACAGTGGCTGGTGTACAGTGGCTGGTGTACAGTGGCTGGTGTACAGTGGCTGGGGCACAGTGGCTGGTGTACAGTGGCTGTGCACAGTGGCTGGTGTACAGTGGCTGTGTACAGTGGCTGGTACAGTGGCTGGGCACAGTGGCTGGCTCGGCTGTACAGCTGGCTGGGGCACAGTGGCTGGGGCACAGCTGGCTGTGGCTGTACCCCGCTGTACAGTGGCTGGGGCTCAGTGGCTGGGGCTCAGTGGCTGGGGCACAGTGGCTGTGTCAGCCGTATTCCCGCTATGTCAGCTGTAACCCGCTGTGTCAACTGAACCCCTGCTATGTCAGCTGTACCCCGCTGTGTCGGCTGTACCCTCGCTGTGTCAGCTGTACCCTCGCTGTGTCAGCTGTACCCCGCTGTGTCGGCTGTACCCCCGCTGTGTCAGCTGTACCTTCGCTGTGTCAGCTGTACCCCGCTGTGTCAACTGTACCCCGCTGAGTCAGCTATACCTCCGTTGTGTCAGCTGCGCCCCGTTGTGTCAGCTGCGCCCCGTTGTGTCAGCTGCGCCCCGTTGTGTCAGCTGCGCCCCGTTGTGTCAGCTGCGCCCCGTTGTGTCAGCTGCGCCCCGCTTTGTCAGCTGTACCCCCACTTTGTCAGCTGTACCCCCGCTGTGTCAGCTGTACCCCCGCTTTGTCAGCTGTACCCCGCTTTGTCAGATGTACCCCCGCTTTGTCAGCTGTACCCCGGCTGTGTCAGCCGTACCCCGGCTGTGTCAGCTGTACCCCGGCTGTGTCAGCCGTACCCCGGCTGTGTCAGCTGTACTACAGCTGTGTCAGCTGTACTACATCTGTGTCAGCTGTACTCCTGCTGTGTCAGCTGTACTCCCGCTGTGTCAGCTGTACCCCGGCTGTTTCAGCTGTATCCCCACTGTCAGCCGTACCCCCGCTGTGTCAGCCGTACCCCCGCTGTGTCAGCTATACCCTCGCTGTGTCAGCTGTACCCCCGCTGTGTCAGCCGTACCCCCGCTGTGTCAGCCGTACCCCCGCTGTGTCAGCCGTACCCCCGCTGTGTCAGCCGTACCCCCGCTGTGCCAGCTGTACCCCGCTGTGTCAGCTGTACCCCCGCTGTGTCAGCTGTACCCCGGATGTGTCAGCCGTACCCCGGCTGTGTCAGCTATACCCTCGCTGTGTCAGCCGTACCCCCGCTGTGTCAGCTATACCCTCGCTGTGTCAGCTGTACCCCCGCTGTGTCAGCTGTACCCCCGCTGTGTCAGCTGTACCCCGCTGTGCCAGCTGTACCCCGCTGTGTCACCTGTACCCCCCGCTGTGCCAGCCGTACCCCGGCTGTGTCAGCCGTACCCCCGCTGTCAGCCGTACCCCCGCTGTGTCAGCCGTACCCCCGCTGTGTCAGCCGTACCCCCGCTGTGTCAGCCGTACCCCGGCGCTGTGTCAGCCGTACCCCGGTGCTGTGTCAGCTGTACCCTAGCTGTGTCAGCTGTACCCCCGCTGTGTCAGCTGTACCCCCGCTGTGTCAGCTGTACCCCCGCTGTGTCAGCTGTACCCCCGCTGTGTCAGTCGTACCCCCGCTGTGTCAGCTGTACCCCTGCTGTGTCAGTCGTACCCCGGCTGTGTCAGACGTACCCCGGCTGTGTCAGACATACCCCCACTGTGTCAGCTGTGTCAGCTGTACCCCTGCTGTGTCAGCTGTACCCCCGCTTTGCCAGCTGTACCCCGGCTGTGTCAGTCGTACCCCGGCTGTGTCAGTCGTACCCCGGCTGTGTCAGTCGTACCCCGGCTGTGTCAGCTGTACCCCGGCTGTGTCAGCCGTACCCCCGCTGTGTCAGTACCCCGCTGTGTCAGCCGTACCCCGGCTGTGTCAGCCGTACCCCCGCTGTGTCAGCCGTACCCCGGCTGTGTCAGTACCCCCGCTGTGTCAGCCCCCGGCTGTGTCAGCCGTACCCCCGCTGTGTCAGCCGTACCCCCGCTGTGTCAGCCGTACCCCCCGCTGTGTCAGCCGTACCCCCCGCTGTGTCAGCTGTACTACCACTGTGTCAGCTGTACCCCCGCTGTGTCAGCTGTACTACCACTGTGTCAGCTGTACTACCACTGTGTCAGCTGTACTCCCGCTGTGTCAGCTGTACCCCCGTTGTGTCAGCCGTACCCCGGCTGTGTCAGCCGTACCCCCGCTGTGTCAGCCGTACCCCCGCTGTGTCAGCTATACCCCGGATGTGTCAGCTATACCCCCGCTGTGTCAGCCGTACCCCCGCTGTGTCAGCCGTACCCCCCGCTGTGTCAGCCGTACCCCCCGCTGTGTCAGCTGTACCCCCGCTGTGTAGCTGTACCCCGCTGTGTCAGCTGTACCCCCGCTGTGTCAGCTGTACCCCGGCTGTGTCAGCCGTACCCCCGCTGTGTCAGCCGTACTGTGTCGGCTGTGTCAGCTGTAGCCCCCGGCTGTGTCAGCCGTACCCCGGCTGTGTCAGCCGTACCCCGGCTGTGTCAGCCGTACCCCGGCTGTGTCAGCCGTACCCCGGCTGTGTCAGCCGTACCCCGGCTGTGTCAGCCGTACCCCGGCTGTGTCAGCCGTACCCCCGCTGTGTCGGCTGTACCCCGCTGTTTCAGCTATACCCCGGCTGTGTCAGCTGTACCCCCGCTGTGTCAGCTGTACCCCCGCTGTGTCAGCCGCACCCCCGCTGTGTCAGCCATACCCCGGCTGTGTCAGCCATACCCCGGCTGTGTCAGCCGTACCCCAGCTGTGTCAGCCGTACCCCGGCTGAGTCGGCCGTACCCCTGCTGTGTCAGCCGTAACCCGGCTGTGTCAGCTATACCCCGGCTGTGCCAACTATACCCCGGCTGTGTCAGCTGTACCCCCGGCTGTGTCAACCGTACCCCCGCTGTGTCAGCCGTACCCCCGCTGTGTCAGCCGTACCCCCGGCTGTGTCAGGCGTACCCCGGCTGTGTCAGCCGTACCCCCGCTGTGTCAGCCGTACCCCCGCTGTGTCAGCCGTACCCCGGCTGTGTCAGCCGCACCTCCGCTGTGTCAGTCGTACCCCCGCTGTATCAGCCGTACCCCGGCTGTGTCAGCCGTACCCCGGCTTTGTTAGCCGTACCCCCGCTGTATCAGCCGTACCCCGGCTGTCAGCCGTACCCCCGCTGTGTCAGCCGGACCCCCGCTGTGTCAGCCGTACCCCCGCTGTGTCAGTACCCCCGCGTACCCCCGCTGTGTCAGCCGTACCCCGGCTGTGTCAGCCGTACCCCGCTGTGTCGTACCCCGCTGTGTCAGCCGTAGCCGTACCCCCGCTGTGTCAGTACCCCCGCGTATCAGCCCCAGGCTGTGTCAGCCGTACCCCCGCTGTGTCAGTCGTACCCCCGCTGTGTCAGTCGTACCCCGGCTGTGTCAGCCGCACCCCCGCTGTGTCAATCGTACCCCCGCTGTATCAGCTGTACCCCGGCTGTGTCAGCCGTACCCTGGCTTTGTTAGCCGTACCCCGGCTGTGTCAGCCGTACCCCCGCTGTGTCAGAAGTACACAGGCTGTGTCAGAAGTACACAGGCTGTGTCAGCCGTACACAGGCTGTGTCAGCCGTACACAGGCTGTGTCAGCCGTACACAGGCTGTGTCAGCCGCACCCCCGCTGTGTCAGTCGTACCCCCGCTGTGTCAGTCGTACCCCCGCTGTGTCAGCCGTACCCCCGCTGTGTCAGCCGTACCCCGGCTGTGTCAGCCGTACCCCGGCTGTGTCAGCCGTACCCCGGCTGTGTCAGCCGTACCCCGGCTGTGTCAGCCGTACCCCGGCTGTGTCAGCCGTACCCCGGCTGTGTCAGCCGTACCCCGGGTGTGTCAGCCGTACCCCGGCTTTGTTAGCCGTACCCCCGGCTGTGTCAGCCGTACCCCCGCTGTATCAGCCGTACCCCCGCTGTGTCAGCCGTACCCCGGCTGTGTCAGCCGTACCCCGGCTGTGTCAGCCGTACCCCCGCTGTGTCAGCCGTACCCCGGCTGTGTCAGCCGTACCCCGGCTGTATCAGCCGTACCCCCGCTGTGTCAGCCGTACCCCCGCTGTATCAGCCGTACCCCCGCTGTGTCAGCCGTACCCCGGCTTTGTTAGCCGTACCTCCGCTGTATCAGCCGTACACAGGCTGTGTCAGCCGTACCCCCGCTGTGTCAGCCGTACCCTAGATCATATTGTCTCAATTGATGTGCTCAAGAGAACAGCATTCATATGTTGATAGGCTTTTTTATATTATAATTAATTATAAAGAGCATTAGCATTCCCATACGAGTTTATCTTTTTATTTCATTTTCTGGACGCGTTTCTAACTATATTTTTAAATATCTTTCGCACTGATTTTGAAACTTTAGGGCATAAGCAGTGGCAATTTAAATTTATTTAAATTTACTATTAATAAATGTTACGGATATTTCGGGTTTCCAGCAATATATTGCAGTTTTGTTGGTAGGAAGTGATGGTTTTTCCTAAAAAAATTTCAGATGGGTTTTAATTTGCGAGTTAAAATAAAAAGCCGGTCATATAAAAGGGAGACGCTCCGTCAGCCAATATCTATAGTTTATCTAGTAAAATAAACAATTTCGTTTTCTATTTTACCTGCAAGATATCAAAATATAGCTCAGATTTTGTTATATGTTGTGCAAGATATACTGTCACTAAATATAACCTCATCTTGGCTTAAAGTTATGAGTTACGTTTTCCTCATTAGTGTATTGGATATTATTCTGAATTTATTTTGATGTGTTGCGTATTTAATTGCTGTCAGCTGCAGCACCACAAGGTCACACTCCCTCACACTGCAGCACCACAAGGTCACACTCCCTCACACTGCAGCACCACAAGGTCACACTCCCTCACACTGCAGCACCACAAGGTCACACTCCTCACACTGCAGCACCACAAGGTCACACTCCCTCACACTGCAGCACCACAAGGTCACACTCCTCACACTGCAGCACCACAAGGTCACACTCCTCACACTGCAGCACCACAAGGTCACACTGCAGCACCACAAGGTCACACTGCTGCACCACAAGGTCACACTGCAGCACCACAAGGTCACACTGCAGCACCACAAGGTCACACTGCTGCACCACCAAGGTCACACTGCAGCACCACAAGGTCACACTGCTGCACCACAAGGTCACACTGCAGCACCACAAGGTCACACTGCTGCACCACAAGGTCACACTGCTGCACCACAAGGTCACACTCCTCACACTGCTGCACCACAAGGTCACACTCCTCACACTGCAGCACCACAAGGTCACACTCCTCACACTGCAGCACCACAAGGTCACACTCCTCACACTGCAGCACCACAAGGTCACACTCCTCACACTGCTGCACCACAAGGTCACACTCCTCACACTGCTGCACCACAAGGTCACACTCCTCACACTGCTGCACCACAAGGTCACACTGCAGCACCACAAGGTCACACTGCTGCACCACAAGGTCACACTCCTCACACTGCAGCACCACAAGGTCACACTCCCTCACACTGCAGCACCACAAGGTCACACTCCCTCACACTGCTGCACCACAAGGTCACACTCCTCACACTGCAGCACCACAAGGTCACACTCCCTCACACTGCAGCACCACAAGGTCACACTCCCTCACACTGCTGCACCACAAGGTCACACTCCTCACACTGCAGCACCACAAGGTCACACTCCCTCACACTGCAGCACCACAAGGTCACACTCCCTCACACTGCAGCACCACAAGGTCACACTCCCTCACACTGCTGCACCACAAGGTCACACTCCCTCACATTGCAGCACCACAAGGTCATACTCCTCACACTGCAGCACCACAAGGTCACACTCCTCACACTGCAGCACCACAAGGTCACACTCCTCACACTGCTGCACCACAAGGTCACACTCCCTCACACTGCAGCACCACAAGGTCACACTCCCTCACACTGCTGCACCACAAGGTCACACTCCTCACACTGCAGCACCACAAGGTCACACTCCTCACACTGCAGCACCACAAGGTCACACTCCTCACACTGCAGCACCACAAGGTCACACTCCTCACACTGCAGCACCACAAGGTCACACTCCTCACACTGCAGCACCACAAGGTCACACTCCTCACACTGCAGCACCACAAGGTCACACTCCCTCACACTGCAGCACCACAAGGTCACACTGCAGCACCACAAGGTCACACTCCCTCACACTGCAGCACCACAAGGTCACACTCCCTCACACTGCAGCACCACAAGGTCACACTCCTCACACTGCAGCACCACAAGGTCACACTCCTCACACTGCAGCACCACAAGGTCACACTCCTCACACTGCTGCACCACAAGGTCACACTCCTCACACTGCAGCACCACAAGGTCACACTCCTCACACTGCTGCACCACAAGGTCACACTCCTCACACTGCAGCACCACAAGGTCACACTCCCTCACACTGCTGCACCACAAGGTCACACTCCTCACACTGCAGCACCACAAGGTCACACTCCCTCACACTGCAGCACCACAAGGTCACACTCCTCACACTGCTGCACCACAAGGTCACACTCCCTCACACTGCAGCACCACAAGGTCACAATCCCTCACACTGCTGCACCACAAGGTCACACTCCTCACACTGCAGCACCACAAGGTCACACTCCTCACACTGCTGCACCACAAGGTCATACTCCTCACACTGCTGCACCACAAGGTCACACTCCCTCACACTGCTGCACCACAAGGTCACACTCCTCACACTGCTGCACCACAAGGTCACACTCCCTCACACTGCAGCACCACAAGATCACACTCCCTCACACTGCTGCACCACAAGGTCATACTCCTCACACTGCTGCACCACAAGGTCACACTCCTCACACTGCTGCACCACAAGGTCACACTCCTCACACTGCAGCACCACAAGGTCACACTCCTCACACTGCTGCACCACAAGGTCACACTCCTCACACTGCAGCACCACAAGGTCACACTACTCACACTGCTGCACCACAAGGTCACACTCCTCACACTGCAGCACCACAAGGTCACACTCCTCACACTGCTGCACCACAAGGTCACACTCCTCACACTGCTGCACCACAAGGTCACACTCCTCACACTGCTGCACCACAAGGTCACACTCCTCACACTGCAGCACCACAAGATCACACACTCACACTGCAGCACCACAAGGTCACACTCCTCACACTGCAGCACCACAAGGTCACACTCCCTCACACTGCAGCACCACAAGGTCACACTCCTCACACTGCAGCACCACAAGGTCACACTCCTCACACTGCAGCACCACAAGGTCACACTCCTCACACTGCTGCACCACAAGGTCACACTCACACACTGCAGCACCACAAGGTCTCACACTGCTGCACCACAAGGTCACACTCCCTCACACTGCTGCACCACAAGGTCACACTCCTCACACTGCAGCACCACAAGGTCACACTCCTCACACTGCTGCACCACAAGGTCAGGTCACTCCCTCACACTGCAGCACCACAAGGTCACACTGCTGCACCACAAGGTCACACTCCTCACACTGCAGCACCACAAGGTCATACTCCTCACACTGCAGCACCACAAGGTCACACTCCTCACACTGCAGCACCACAAGGTCACACTCCTCACACTGCAGCACCACAAGGTCACACTCCTCACACTGCAGCACCACAAGGTCACACTCACACTGCAGCACCACAAGGTCACACTCACACTGCTGCACCACAAGGTCACACTCCCTCACACTGCAGCACCACAAGGTCACACTCCCTCACACTGCAGCACCACAAGGTCACACTCCTCACACTGCAGCACCACAAGGTCACACTCCTCACACTGCAGCACCACAAGGTCACACTCCTCACACTGCTGCACCACAAGGTCACACTCCTCACACTGCAGCACCACAAGGTCACACTCCCTCACACTGCAGCACCACAAGGTCACACTGCTGCACCACAAGGTCACACTCCCTCACACTGCAGCACCACAAGGTCACACTCCCTCACACTGCAGCACCACAAGGTCACACTCCTCACACTGCAGCACCACAAGGTCACACTCCCTCACACTGCTGCACCACAAGGTCACACTCCTCACACTGCAGCACCACAAGGTCACACTCCTCACACTGCTGCACCACCAGGTCACACTCCTCACACTGCAGCACCACAAGGTCACACTCCCTCTCACTGCTGCACCACAAGGTCACACTCCTCACACTGCAGCACCACAAGGTCACACTCCCTCACACTGCTGCACCACAAGGTCACACTCCTCACACTGCTGCACCACAAGATCACACTCACTCACACTGCAGCACCACAAGGTCACACTGCTGCACCACAAGGTCACACTCCTCACACTGCTGCACCACAAGATCACACTCTTCACACTGCTGCACCACAAGATCACACTCCTCACACTGCAGCACCACAAGGTCACACTCACTCACACTGCTGCACCACAAGGTCACACTCCTCACACTGCAGCACCACAAGGTCACACTCCTCACACTGCTGCACCACAAGGTCACACTCCTCACACTGCTGCACCACAAGGTCACACTCCTCACACTGCAGCACCACAAGGTCACACTCCTCACACTGCAGCACCACAAGGTCACACTACTCACACTGCTGCACCACAAGGTCACACTCCCTCACACTGCTGCACCACAAGGTCACACTCCTCACACTGCAGCACCACAAGGTCACACTCCTCACACTGCAGCACCACAAGGTCACTCCTCACACTGCTGCACCACAAGGTCACACTGCAGCACCACAAGGTCACACTCCCTCACACTGCTGCACCACCAGGTCACACTCCTCACACTGCAGCACCACAAGGTCACACTCCCTCACACTGCAGCACCCACAAGGTCACACTCCCTCACACTGCTGTACCACAAGGTCACACGCCTCACACTGCAGCACCACAAGGTCATACTCCTCACACTGCTGCACCACAAGGTCACACTCCTCACACTGCTGCACCACAAGGTCACACTCACACTGCAGCACCACAAGGTCACACTCCCTCACACTGCTGCACCACAAGGTCACACTCAAACTGCAGCACCACATGGTCACACTCCTCACACTGCTGTACCACAAGGTCACACTCCCTCACACTGCTGCACCACAAGGTCACACTCCCTCACACTGCTGCACCACCAGGTCACACTCCCTCACACTGCTGCACCACAAGGTCAC